TGCCTCTCCCGCGACTTTTCAAGTTCCCCCTTTTGCCACCACCGGCCCCTGGAATGGTCACAACTAGGTCTTATTTACAGGGTAGGTCTTCTATTTTAGCAATTCCCAAAAATAGTACAAGATCTTATTTTCGGGGTAGGTCTTATTTTCGGGGGAAACAGGGTAGTTATATTGGATGTTTTTGAAAAAAAATTTGGGAGCACTTGTGTTCAGGTCTGTTGTGGTCCTAAACAGCATCTGTTATGGGTGTCTACCTTCAGTTAGCCATTCAAGGTTCTTGAAGGTTCTTAAGGGTTCTCCTTTTTTTAAAAATTCCGAATTCATTATGGAACCCTGGGACCTGTTGATAGAGATCGGACAAAGACATCAGATGGGAAAGGTGCCAGACAAAAGAAAAGACGCAACAAGCACAATTCTTTATAAGGATTTTATTAACAAAGCTACCATCCATGGAAAGCAGAAACATTTTTATGAAGACTTTATACATTTTATAGACTGAGTCATTGTGTTTGTGTGTGTGTGTGTGTGTGTGTGTGTGCTTTACAGGAGTCCTAACATGTAATGCAGAGTTTGTATATGTAAATCTGTATATGTTTGCTGCTTGTCACAAATGTGGATGTGAAAGCTGGACTGGAAAGTGAAAGGAGAAGCGGCAGACTGATAAGTTTATATCTCTCACTCTGCAGTGGTCACTCTGCTCTCTCTTGATATGAGCATGTTCATTGCTAGCAAATAAGGACTGCAGCACCACTGACTAGCTCCTCCTACTGCTTTTCCCGCTACCAGTTTGAGCTCTTCCGTACAGCGACTTCAAAAAGCGCATATCAAAGTCAAATTCAGGTACTTGTTTTTTTAAAATAAATAAATGCGTATAATTAATTATTATTTGATAAATAATACATCATTTAGTACATTTTAATTGAATAATTAATAATTATTTAATACATTAATTAGATAATAATTTATTAGTCAGATATTAATTTAATAAATTAGTATCTTTATGGCGTTTAGCCTTAACTGCTATTTTTCAAAATAGAAATTGTTTAATGAACATATGTTCAAACACAGATATCCATCATGAGGCATCGTTAGATGGAAGGAGAATTTGTGATCTGGGTAATCAGTCAGACATGTCTATAGTGGAATGAATCTGTTATGGTGGCAGACGTTTGGTTGGAAGGAGGTCTAGATATACAAATTTTGGTAAAATCCACTCTGGCAGCCTTTGGCTAAGGGAAAGATGTGCTCCACCAGGAGGAGTTGGAAAATCTACCACAAGGGGGGTGCGGCCGGCACCCGGGTGACACCATTGGAGGGGTGACCCCCCTCTGAAAAGTCGGGCGCTCGGTCATGGACCGAACGCCCGACAGTATCAGGAGAGAGGAGGGGACCCGGCGGCATACCTTATCCCGTCGGGGTGACTGTCCCCTCCTCTCTCTGCCGGCGTCCATCACCAAGATGGCCGCCGGCAGGTATCAGAATACTGCCGCGCGTGCGCGATGACGTCATCGCACACGCGCGTGGTGCCGTCACGCGCATTCGCAGTGACGTCTTGGCGGGGTGACACTCGGTTAGCGCTCCAGGTGTCACCCAGCCTCGGGACGCCCCTGAGTGATTGTCACCTACAGTTGGGAGTGAACGTGAAGTATTTTATTATTAGTCATTAGAGAGTAGAAATCACCAGCACTCAGGAAGTGAGGCTCAAAAAGTACCGTCCATTTAATCGAACCAAACGTCACAAATATCACTAAATCCAACGTTTCGTGACCGCGCAGGGTCCCTTTATCAGGGCAGAGATGTGACAAACGAAGAGCACAAAACATACCACATATATACCCCTCAGTGAGTGTGGAGAAGGTTAGAGGTCCCCACCCCATGACGTCATCATGGTGTCAGGGCACACCCACCAATATAGAATACAATATAAAAAATATATAGTGAAGACATAGCATACATCAGTAAAAAAAAGGATAATTGCAATCAATAAAATACTTGATATATGTAGCTATAACATGTCAGTGCGTGGGCCACGAAGTAGGTCTTAATCTGCTGTGTCCCCTCCTCTTCTATAAAAAACATGGTCAGAATTGGAAGCATTTGACTAACTGACTGGAGATTTAGGGTTGTTGAGGCTACTCCAGTGATCTGCTAAATGGTTCAAAGTTCCCTTTAACTAAGTTCAAAGTTCCCTTTGCTTTTATTGCTTTTGCTGCAATAAAAGCAATCAGGTCACCAGCACACCAAGGTCCACCTCATCAAGCCTTCTTTTGTTGACGCATGATAAACGTGGTATCGCAATTAAACACAATGTTTCGGGAACCACATGTGGTTCCTTGATCAGGCGATCAGTGTGACACCGTGTCATCAGTGTCATCACACCGTTGGCCTGATGAAGGAACTGCATGAGGTTCTGAAACATTGTATTTTATTGTGATACCATGTTTATCGTACGTCAATAAAACGGATTGATATGGTGGACATTGGTGTGTTGGTGACCCGATGCCTTACGCTGTTCCATACAGCGCCATCCATCAGTTACTGCGGCACCCACTAAAGCAACAAAAGTGGGATATTGGTCAGGAGTGTGATCGGACACTTCTCATTGTGATTTTGTAGAAGACCTCCTTCCCTGTTTAGAAATGGTAAGTGAAAAAATTATTACTTTTAATAAATAAATAAATAAAAATGAGAAGAAAAAGTTAAATTTACTCAATTTACACCAAGGGGTCTGAATTTGATCTGTGAACATCTGTGAATGTTCGTTTTGGCCAACTAAATTATTTATTTACCAGTTTGAATGTGTGTTTGTGTTGTAATAATACATTATGGCCATTGAATGGCTCAGCTTCATCTAGGGGCCACAATATGTTGCTACAACTCACTGCATTCGAATTAGAAAAAAATATATATTAAGAACAGGGATGAACCTATTCCGTTTTTTTGGGTAAGAGTACTGATATTTATCTTTCGGTACTCGCCGACACCATGAACCGATACTGGTACTTCCGCTAGCATGGAGTCGGCTTCCGGGTCAATCAGGAAGCATGGCATTGCCTGGCTTCTTGATTGCCCAGGAAGTTGGCTCCATTCTGTTTGCTGGCCAAAAAGGAAGCCGGTAGGCGAGTCATTACCCACTACCCGGCATCCTGTTTGGCCGGGAAGCTGGCTCCATGCTGTTAGGTCGGCTGATTGGCTGGGTAGCCGGCCAATCAGGATTGAGCCGGCCAAACAGCATGGAGCTGGCTTCCCGGCCAATCAGGAAGTCATACCCGCCGCCCAGCTTGGCAGGGAAGCTGGCTCCGTGTTCAGAGGAAATCTTCCTCTGACCAGAAGTTCTGGTATCGATGGTAAGTATCGGAGTAATCATACTTGCCCGAATACTCTGTATCGGCACCGATACAAGAACATATATTGTTTGGCATTATTCACCCAAACCAAACGTTCACAGATATGCATAGGGCACAGGGCCCTGAAAATTCTTTACACATAGACAGCTAAGTCTTCAGGCCGCTTCCAGCAGGCACGGGAAATCAACAGGCCTTCTACAGGGGTGAGCCTAAATCTTGTGAGAAGATGCTTGAGAGCTGAGCTACTTCTCATGAGATTTTTGCTTTTCTGTTTCATATCATTGCTGCTGCCATTTACCCAGGGAATGTGAGAAGGCATACAGCCATTGAATAGCCTGTGGTAGATCAGATCTCTAAGTGCATACTGACCAACATGTTGATTTGAGCGGTCACATCTATCTGGTGAGTTTTGTCCCCAACGGAGGGAAGTGGTTCAGGTGGAGGAGTTTGCAAGCACAGGTTTTTTTGGCACATACCACATATATGGGCACATCTGGGTTGATTTGCTAAAGGAGTAGCACATGTACACTTGCAAGGGAAGGTTCATTTTGAGAGGGTTAGGTTAAAGGAGAACTATGGGGTGAGTGTTTTTCCCCATAGTTCTCTTTAGGGTCACGGGAGGACATATACTAACATCCTCCTATGACCTAAAGCTCAGTATATAGCGAGCTATTGCCCGCGATATACTGAGAGCGCCGCTGCCGGGACGGATCCCAATAATACTGTCGAGACCCACCCAGCTGCGTGAGTGACAGCTGGCTCTGCCTATCTAGGGGGAATCCCTGCAGTGACTGATACTTTTTCCGATACCGGAACTTCCAGTATCAGGAAGCCGGGCGGCGAGTCATTACACCAGGGAGCATGGAGCTGGCTTCCCAGCCAATCTGCATGGAGCCAGAGGCGGGTCATTACTCGCAGCCCAGCTTCCTGATTGCCGGGAAGCCAGCTCCATGTTCCCCTACGGCACTGCCGGTCAGAGGAAAATTTCCGGTATCGGGGAAGGTATCGGAGCATTTGGGCGAGTACGAGTACTTGCCCAAATACTCTGTATCGGCACCGATACCGATACTAGTATCAGTGCATCCCTAGTGACAGGTCTTAGATTTGATTGTGGGAATTATTGATGGGGGAGAGGTTTGGTTTTAGAGTGATCATTTAATCTTGCTGAGTTGTACACTGTGGAGCATATTGCGAATAAGATTTGTTGGAGGGAGCTGTTTTCATTGTAGGAGCTGAAGCTAAAATGATATTGCAATATTTTTAAATAGAAAGAAGAAATACATTGCATAGATGTAGATTCTCAGGTCTCGGAAAAGTAAACTTATTCAGTGAGAATAGATAATGGGACACATCAGTTAAATTGCAAGAAGTGAACCAGTTCCATATGATAATATCAGATTCCAAATTTCCCCCAATTCATCATTCATTCATTCATTTCCAAAATATAATCATTTCATTAATGTATTGAGGAATTTTTGCTTCTAAAACCCAACCAGGTATTCAGAATCTATCAAATCTTTTTTTTTTTTTAGATTGTGGAGCAGAGCTCTTGTAGTATGACAAGAGCATGGTCAGATGGTGAAGTAGCTAGCTTTCTACCTGTTGAAAAACCTTTGTAACTGAGAAGAGTAAAGGAGACCAAGGGAGACTTGGTCACCAATTCATCTCAAATTCATCTCTCAGACCATGAGCAGAAAGGTTCTTTGTCCATCTGTCAGAAAAGCATTCCTTGAAAGGTTTCTTCAGAGCCTGTTTCACATCTTGGTTCCTTAGGCTGTAAATAAAAGCATTCAGCATAGGTGTGATGATGGTGTAAGCCACGCTGACAATGCGATCATACTGTGAAGAGTAAACAGAGGGAGGACGGAAGTATATGAAAATGATGGTGCCATAGAACAGACAAATGACCATGAGATGAGAAGAACAGGAAGAAAAAGCTTTGCTCCGGCTGCTACTGGTTTTCATTTTTGCTATAGCCCATCCAATGAGCACATAGGAGATGAGTATGAAAAGGAATGGAATAATTATAGCTATGGAACCTTCTGTGTATATTAGGAGCTCAGCCGATTTAGTACTGGAACAGGACAGCTTGATGAGCGGGGTCATGTCACAGAAGAAGTGGGGGATAAGTCTGTCCTCACAGTAGGTCAATTGTGAGAGAACGTATGTGTGCAATAATGAATGCAGAGAAGCTGCCACCCAACAACTGCTTGACAAGATGACCACGACCTTATTATTCATTAACGAGGTGTAGCGTAAGGGGATACAAACAGCCAAATAACGATCAAACGCCATTACTGACAGAAGGAAAATCTCAGTCACCCCCAGAAACACAAAGAAGTACATCTGCAGGAAACAGCCGAGGAAGGAGATGGAGGTTCCTCCACGAAGAATGCCGGATAGAAGCTTGGGCACCGTCACTGTAGAGAAAGAGATGTCCACTACCGACAGGTTACCTAACAAAAAGTACATGGGTGTGTGCAACTGTGGAGAAAGTTTAATAGAACTTAGTAAAAGTAAGTTAGTAGTCCATGTGAGTGCGTAGATTACCAGAATGGTGGAGAAGAGAGCGGCACGGTTGTAGTGAAGGTCTGAGAAGGCCAGAAGAAAAAAGCCGGAGGTTAGATTTACTTTTTCCATCAGAAATTATCGAGGAGTCAGAAATGTCAGGTGAAAGAACAATACCACCAAACAACTGCAAGAAACATGGAGGTCGCTTATATGGCAGAATGATATCAGTGGACACCCAGTCTCCATGTGTTCATACAAACGCAGCTTCCTCTATTGTGCCATTGCCGACAATGATCAACGGGATCACAATGTGATATCTTTCCAGGTGATATCTAAACCTCAGAGAATTCCCAATTTCTGCAAACTAACACCATGTCTGAAAGAGGAGCATTGCATTCCTCAGTAGAGGATTCTGATAGAACTAAGTTATCAGTCCATGTGAGTGTGTATATAACCAGAACGGTGGAGATTAGAAGAACATGGCTCTACTGAAGATCAGAGGGCAGATCAGAGGACCTCAAAGGTACAAAGATGGAGGTTAGATGGACTTTTTCCAAAAAAAAGTATCTATAAATTGATGGATGTGTTCACTTGTGTGCTTCTTCCTCTCCTCTCTGCCGTTTCTGAGAATGGGACATCAGTATTTTACACAAATATTTATATTTTCAAAAGATTTACCAAGAAATATTTCAAGACTTTTCCACATTATCACTGTTCTTGCGGAATAAAACCTTTTCGAAGATGGAAACCACAAGAGGAGCCTTAGGGGTTGATTTACTATAGGCAAATAGGCTGCCCACTTTGCAAAAGTATTCGCTCATTGAAGGGGAAGTTTCCCCTTAGCTTAGTGAATGAGGTGAAGCTCTGCTGACGCCCATCCTCCATTCATATACAAGCTATTCAAAAATTCTTCCCCTTAGCTTAGTGAATGAGGTGAAGCTCTGCTGACGTCCATCCTCCAATCATGTACAAGCTACGTGAAAATTCTTCCCCTTAGCTCAGTGAATGAAATGAAGCTCTGCTGACGTCCATCATACAATCATGTACAGGCTATGAAAAAATTCTTCCCCTCAGCTTAGTGAATGAGGTGAAGCTCTGCTGACGTCCATCATACAATCATATACAAGCTATGAAAAAATTCTTCCCCTTAGCTTAGTGAATGAGGTGAAGCTCTGCTGACATCCATCATACAATCATGTACAAGCTATGAAACAATTCTTCCCCTCAGCTTAGTGAATGAGATAAAGCTCTGCTGACGTCCATCATACAATCATGTACAAACTATGAAAAAATTCTTCCCCTTAGCTTAGTGAATGAGGTGAAGCTCTGCTGACGTCCATCATACAATCATGTATAAACTATGAAAACATTCTTCCCCTTAGCTTAGTGAGTGAGGTAAAGCTCTGCTGATGCCTATCATCCAATCATGTACAAGCTCTGAAAAAATTATTCCCCTTAGCTTAGTGAGTGAGTTGAAGCTCTGCTGATGCCTATCATCCAATCATGTACAAGCTAGGAAACAATGCTTCCCCTCAGCTTAGTGAGTGAGGTACAAGCTATAAAAAAAATTGTGTTGCAAAGTGAACAGCCTATTCTCCTTTAGTACATCAATCTAATTGTGTAATGAGGTTTTAACAAGATTTCCCCCAGTCTACGTGTTGAAGTTCAGTCTTCAACATGGAGAACTTCACTGTAGCTTTAACAGACCCCAACAGTGCACCATCTCAAGTGCAATGATCATGCAAAAAATTGTCCTGCAATAAGTTTATACATTTTCATCCTCTTGACATGCCAGCAGTGCCTCCACCCAGGCTTAGGGAAGTAAATATCTCCCATGATTATTCTTGGTCAAAGGTGTTCCGTTCTCTTAACTGTTGGAAGGAGCTGAGTTTCTAATACGGGGGGTGGGGGGCGTGGGCTCCAACATACACCGGTAATGAATGTGTCAGTTTTATCATATGGGTTCCCTACGTCACTTACTGTATACCGGAGACTTGAGATTTGCCAGACATAGACGGCTCTCCTTATATATGTTTTGTTTTTCAGGATCTGGGCGCCCCCAGGGAATTAATTATATTTTCAGAACTCTCTTGTGTGTTGGCTCAGGAGTGTAACAAGGAGGATAATTATGAACACTAACAATAACACTGATTTAATTTTCTGTCAATATTTTCATCAGTACTATCACTTACATTCCCTTATTATGACCGTGAAAAAGGGAGGAACAAAATACCAGGCATAACCTCCTATGAAATTATAGACGGAACACAGCAAAAAAATTGGTACAAAAAAGATACATATTACCAAGTCAATTCGTGGCTGAGTTGCTGTTGTTCCCAGTTGCTTCCACTTTGTTATAATACCACTAACAGGTGACCGCGGAATATTTAGTAACAAGGAAAGTTCATGGAACACCAGAATCCAATGATTTAGATGGGTGTCCCAATACTTTTATCAATATAGTGTGTGTATATATATATATCTATATATATATAGATATATATATCTACAGATCACCAGCCAATCACTGGGTCTCTCTCAACCAGTGGTGCATGCTGGGATATTGTACATATACTGGAGGGAATCGCCATGTGCTCAGTCTAGTTCGGGTCCAGCCATGGATTAGTCCAAGCTGGGGTGCTGTCCAGCCACCCTCCAGGCTAGGCCTGAGGCCTCGGGGTGGAAATACTGGAGGAGGCCTCTGCTGATGCTAGAGCAGAAGAACCAGGAAAGCTGATGGCTGCTGAAGGTACCCGGAACATAGTGGGCTTCAGGAGCAAGTCTGGTGTCTCTCCTGCTAAGGACCTGTACTCATCCCTGCTCACCTGTGACTCAGATTCCTCTTTGCTGTGTTATCAATGGACTGTCTTCAGGGGATCCACCTGCCGACCACTGTGTATCACTATTGTGTCCTACAGTGATGTATCGGTCACTGAGAGGAACCACTGAGTGCAGTGAGGACCACAACATCTCCATTCCTGGAAGTCACTTGGATAGACAGCAAGCAACTCATGGGGGGTTTCTGGGAATATTTCTTCTGTATTACAAATAGATAAGCCAAAGGAGTTCCCGAATGACCAAATCACTAACAAAAGGTCAACTAAATATATGGCTGGATAAAAACATCTTTATACTGGAATCATTGAAAATGCCTTTACTAGATGAAAGAGGAAAAACCTGACTGCTTGGTTGAGCTTCTAAAGTGGACTTCTGGAGTTACCTAAGTTTTCTTTAGGGTAGGCTCGTTAGGGTAGGTAATATAGAGGTGTCCCTTGGCTTTGTAATAATGGCTGGATCCCTGCAAACATGGCCTCAGCATAGTGGTCTCATGTAGCTTGGTAAAGCTGAACTGCATGGGCTCCACCAGAGAAAGAGAACAGTTCTTCATAGCTAAAGCCCAGGGCTAGAATTGGGCAGAAAATGATCATCCCTACCCTCTTCCACCCAGATGGTCACCTCCATTGCGGTATCTAATACCTTTGTAACGGGATGATTTACCATATTATCTTTGAATGAATCAGAGAATTCAAGGCTATAGTGACTGTAGGGAACTGGTGTCTGTGAAGGTTCTCATTCATCCAGGTAGAGAATCCAGGTAAAGTGACTGTAGAGAACTGGGTCATTCCATTGGTAGGTGACCTGCCACCTCCAGATTTAGGTGCAGTACTCCATGCCAGGTCCTAAGATTTTTAAGCTTGGATTCTGCAGAAGTGGTACATGTGCAGGATGGTGCTAGAGATGTACGGCGTATAACGACTAACAGGGGGCCACTGACAAGAACATGAATGACAAGCCAGAGGCAGGAAAGGCTGGAGACCTGACAGCAGCAATGTGGGTAAGGAGACACGGTAGAGGCATGTATTCTGAGCTAGCAGACAAGAATTACCTAAGCAACTGGGAAATGTCTGGGCGGCAAGGCTTGTCTAGGTGTAACACAAGATGGGATCATTACTACATGGGGGTTATGCAGTATATGAAAAGAAGATAGAACACAAAATGGGATCATTACTACATGGGGATTATACAGTATATGAAAGGATAGAAAGAACGGCCTAGCAAATTCCAATAGACAGTTAGGGTTGCCACCTGTACGGGATTCACCTGGACAGTCCGGGTTTTGAAAGCTGTGTCCGGGTTTCATGGCAGCTGAGACCCGGACACATGATGTCAGGCAGACAGGCGCAACCAAAATTAAGATAGGGGCTACTGGCCCCCCACTGAAAATAGTCTTGACTGTGATATTTACATACGAATGGGTGGATTTACATATGAATAAGCCGCAACTCATTCTCCCCAAAAAACCTCTATGCGTCGCTAGAGTGTTCGGGTTTCGTTGAAAGAAAAGGTGGCAACCCTATAGACAGTGCCCAGGCATAGCTAGACTCAGCAAATAAAGCACTATAACAGATTGGTGACCAAAGCCAGCACATGGAATTACAAGGGTTACATAGTTACATAGTTAGTCAGGTTGAAAAAAGACACAAGTCCATCGAGTACTTATCACGCCCTCCAACATTTCAAAGAGAAAATCGTTCACTCAACCTGCAGGCACAGCATACAGTATGATATGTATAAATGGTTTGAAGAAATCATGAGTCAGAGGAAGCAGCGCCTTACATGACCTCATGTAAAGTCTTGGCCACTAGTAGGCCCAAAGCATTGTGCTGCCTTATACCTTGTGTCTGCAGATAAAGAATTATTGGGGACGTATGGTTCCCATAACACCAACGTATATATTTTCTAGGGATGCACCGATACTAAAACTAGTATCGGTGCCGAATATTCGGCTCAAATGCTCCGATGCCTAGCCCAATACTTCCTGATTGGCCGGGAAGCCGGCTCCATGCTCCCTCGTCACTTGTGACGAAAGAGCATGGAGCCGGCTTCCCGGCCAATCAGGGAGCCTGTGATTTCCACTCACCTCATAGTTCTAGCCGACCTGTGACAATGAGACTGTCACAGGTCGGCTCAGTAGATCGGGAGGTGAGCGAACACATACCGGTGTTCGCTCACTTCTCAATCCTGTCACGGCTCTCTGCCGTGACAGGGGAGGGGCTGGATTCCCCTCTCCCCGCTCCGATCCCCCAGCGCTGACTGGCAGAACAGACTGGGGAGGGGGCGGGTACAGCTGGCTCTGCCTCTAGATAGGCAGAGCCAGCTGTCACTCACGCAGCTGGGCGGATCCAGACATCGATGTCGGGATCCGCTCTGGCGTCTCAGTATACCGCGAGCTCTAGCTCGCGGTATACTGAGCCTAGGGTTACTGAGCCTAGGGTGAACCCCATAGTTCTCCTTTAATGGGACTTTTGGTATCGGCAAGTACCGGAAAAACAATATCGGTGTTTGTACTCGATACTGAAATACACCGGTTTCGGTGCATCCCTAATATTTTCTATTATGTTCAGGACTATTAAGTAACAGTTATGAAATATTTTTTCCATTTGAATGATTTTGCTTTTGGTTACCAACTTTGTTTCTGTAGGTTGTGTTCCCAGCGCCAGTACTATGAGCACCCAAATGTCGCTGGCAGTTGGTCTGATGTGGACTCCAAGTACCATCTACTGATGAACTGACAGGCTGTGCCATTATTGTGCTTGGACAGACTCAGTCTTATACATTATTACATTGGCTTGTTTCTACTGTTGGTGAGTTTATTACCTGTTCCCGTCTACGTATATCTTGCCTAATGTGAACATCAACTATCCATCCCTGTCTCTCTGTCTGCTGTCCCTGAACTACATGGAAAAAAGGAGATACTCATACACAGTAACATCTTTAAAAGTGTAGCATGACTCCTCCCCTCCCTGCCCCATACGCCCTGCTCTGTCCAGATGGGGTCCATATGGAGTGTCAATCAGAGACAGACAGTCTGAAGGCAAACATCTTCTGCTGTGCTTTCTCTTTAGCCAACCTAAAATAACATGGGCACACCATGTATTTAATGTTTATTCGGAAAGAAACATTTTTATAAATAAAGCAAAACAACAAAAAACAGATAAAAACATTAGTTTAAAAGTGTGAAAAAATAGTTGCAAATTATTGGAAAATCCTTTCAGTAACTCTACAAGTCTTTATGAATAAATTCCAGACGTGTCACAATATACAGCAGCAATACCTTTTTTTCAGAAAGGATCCACCTTTTACCTTTAAATAGTTGTCCTTTAGGTACAGTCCATTAACTTTGCCTATGGATGAGATCATGTATTTAGTCTACTGCAGGCAGGAGGAAGCCCTTCTTTAGTCTCCCCTTCACCAATGATCAGACTGCAAGAGTTGAACTTCGCAGAGAGTCATAAGGCTGATCTGTGTCCAGGGGCATCCCAATGTGACGTCATCGTGCATGCGCTGTGGTCTTATCGACGCCGGTGATGGACGCCGGCAGAGAGAGGAGGGGATGTTCACCCGGCGGGATAAGGTATGCCGCCGGGTCCCCTCCTCTCTCCTGACACCGTCGAGCTCTCAGTCCGTGACCGAGTGCCTGACTTTTCATAGGGGGTGACACAAAATGACTGTCATTCATATTGGTGTCACCCCTCCAATGGTGGCACCCGGGTGCGGGCCGCACATAACCCCCCCACACACACACACACCCTGCCTTGTGACGCCACTGCATACATTCTAGCTCAGGGGTATGCAAATTCCGGACACTGTCTGTGTCAGACATTTGTGAACGCAGCCAAGAACTGCACATGAACTACATGACTGTGTTATCTCTGAGCCAGCGTCTGAGTCCTGAGGTAGGTGGTAGCCCCGTATGATGCCTGAACAAAGATGGTGCATCCTTTTAGAAGAAAAAACCAAGGTAACAAATACCTGGAGGTGTTACTCTTACACATTGCTTAGTATGGATGCACTGAACATCTCTGCTGTAATGAAGATCAGATATTTACAACAGTGAACATTTCCATGACAAAAGTTTCTGGAATGTCATCTTAAAATCGCTGTTCCTTAAGCTGTAGATGATTGGGTTCAGCATTGGAATGGCCACCGTATAGACCACAGAGGCCACCCTGTCTGTTTCCATGGAACGGCTACCGGCTGGTCTCAGATAGATGAAGAATAGGCTTCCATAGTATAACGTAAACACTACAAAGTGGGAAAGGCAAGTCGATGTGGCTTTACTTCTGCCGTGTCCAGAGCGGATTTTAATGAGAGAAGCAATTATAAAAAAATAAGATACTATGACCACAAGGGCGGAGCCACCCTCATTGAACCCACAGAAGGTGAACAGGATCATTTCATTGACTGTGGTGTCCGTGCAGGACAGTTTGAGCAGCGGCGGCATGTCGCAGAAGAAGTAACTTATTTCCGTCTTACAAAAGGTCAGGTGAAAGGTGAAACACGTGTGAAACAAGGACTGGAAGAGACCGTTCAGATAAGCCCCACAGACGAGCCAGGCGCAGAACCTGGTGGTCATAATGGCCGGATACCTCAAAGGGTTGCAGATGGCAAGGTAGCGATCGTAAGCCATGATGGCCAGGAGGACGCTCTCCGACGTGATCAGCGTTGCGAAGAGGAACATCTGAACCACGCAGGCCGAATACGTGATGGATTTGTCTTTCATCAGAAAGGTAGAGAGCATTTTGGGGGCAATGACCGTGGAATAGAGGATGTCTAAAAAGGCGAGATTGCCCAGAAAGAAATACATCGGCTTATTCAGGCCGTCGTTAAAGAGCGTCACGGCGATAATGCAAATATTGCCCAATAGCGTGAAGACGTAAATCAGGAGAAATATAATAAACAGGCCAACCAGGATATCATCCCGGTTAGTAAATCCCAGTAGAATGAAACTGGTGACCTCTGTATCGTTCTTCCTCATGGTCACCCAAGTTCCATGTAGTCTTCCCTGTTCTAAATGTTTTCCTATAAAAGAAAAATTGCATCAAAAGGTTTGAAAGGAGAAGATTTTGAGTTAATTTGGTATCAGGCCCAACTATATCCATGTCTGCAATACTGAATGCTGCCCACAAACCATGACATTCTTAGAACCCCTAGATTAGAGGTAGGCAAACTTAGGCCCTCCAGCTGTGGAGAAACTACAAATCCCATAGCAAGACTCTGACAGCCACAGGCATGACTTCCAGAGGGAGAAGCATGGTGGGAAGTTTGTCTACCCCTGCCCTAGATCAGTGGTTCTCAACCTGTGTAACCTCAGTACCCACATTAAGTCGCAATCCAAGTCACACTGCAATTGAGCTTGCGGTACCTTAATGCATGGTAGGTGCGATTGCGTGGTACAGTTTAACACACGTTCACTAGTGTGAACGAGCCCTCAAAAACACTGACATACAGACACAATGTCACCCACTCACAGACATTCTCACACACACATACACAATCCAAAAAAGTTTGCATTTTTTCTTTTTTAAGGTCCACCCAGTCTCCCTACCTTACGAGAACTGGAGTGGATCCCCAACCTGGTCCAGTGTGGGCTGTTGTGCTGTGACGGAGCTCCAGCCATATGTGCATCGCTTGTACAGCTCCCTTGCACGCCCTGTAGAGATACCGGGAGCCAGAATGTGATGTCACTCCAGTCCAGGTACCTCTACAGGACATGTGAGGGAGCTGTAAGCAATGCACATATGGATGGAGTTCCCTCGCAGCCATAGCCCCATCCCACCCCACCTCAAGCTGACACTCGGTGCCGGGCAGCATATTTTGAATGGCTGCACTGCACGAGAACTGACAGTGCAGCGTTAGGGGGAGGCTGAGGAGCCTCTCACCTAGAAAAGTGGAAGACATGCGGCGACCCACTGAACACGGGGCCGCGACCCACTTTTGGATCAACACCCACCAGTTGAGAACCAAGGCCCTAGATAATTTAGAGAAAGGAAAACACCTTATAAAGTAGGTTCTGGTCTCTACTAACAAAAACCATTTCCTTCATCGAGCCATGATGACAATGGCCTAAATCTTTAGATGTGCATTACATAGTTACATAGTTACATAGTTACATAGTATTTGAGGTTGAAAAAAGACATTAGTCCATCAAGTCCAACCTATTAGGATCTCATTCTAGGAGTACCTGTACCCCTGTATATTACCTGTACCCCTGTATATTACCTGTACCCCTGTATATTACGGTCCCTTAAGAAATCGTCCAAAAGTTTCTTGAACAATTCCACATTATTTGCTGAAATCACCGCCTGTGGCAGTGAGTTCCGGACCCTAACTGATCTTACTGTGAAGAACCCCCTTCACCCCTTGTGCTGGAATTTTTTTTCCACCAATTTTAGGTGGTGGCCTCTAGTTTTTGTAATGGAGTTAATTTTAAACAGTTTATCGCTAATGTTGCTACCACCATTGAACATTTTGTACATGGAGATCATATCCCCCCTTAATCTCCTCACCTCCAATGTGAACATGTTTAAATTTAGTAGCCTTGTCTCGTAGCTCTGGTCCTCCATACCCCTAATTAGTTTGGTTGCCCTCCGCTGGACTTTTTCCAACTCAAGGACATCTTTTCTTAGTACTGGTGACCAGAACTGGACCGCGTACTCCAGATGAGGTCGAACCAATGATCTATAAAGTGGCAAAATTATAGACTTGTCCCTGCAATACATCCCCTTTTTAATACAGGACAAGACCCTGCTATCTTTGTTTACAGCAGCCTGGCACTGCAAGCTACCTTTCAGTTTGTGGTCTACAATGACCCCCAAATCCTTCTCCATTTCTGAGTTCCCTAGCGGCACCCCCATAATTGTATAACCCATTTGTTTATTTTTAATTCCAAAGTGCATTACTTTGCATTTATCGACATTAAACCTCATCAGCCACATTAATGCCCCTCCCCCTATTTTATCCAGGTCCTCCTGTAATGTTATAGTGTCTAAGTCCGTGTCTATTACCCTCCCAATTTTGGTGTCATCTGCAAACACGATTGATAGAAGCCATTGTATATCTAGTAGTAGTTGGTTACATTAATCTAGGTTTGTTCTGTAATGTTGAAGGTGTCGCTCACCCAAGTGGCTTCCTACACCCAAATGAGTGTTGGGGAGACACCCAACATGAGCAGATCAATGACCTTAATGCAGTGGCGATGAGTGGTGTCTTCACCATCATTAAACAAGTCCAGTTGAAGGTGACTAACCACTGCTGTCTATAACATTTATAAACAGCGTTCAATTCTAAATGTAAGTCATCTTTGATCATCTGAGCTTTCTGCATAGGCAATCTACAGTAGCTTTGCAGTAATTATCTTTATATGGAAAAAAAAATATGTATATATAATAAAAAAAATGTTAAAAAAAATAATATAATATATATATATATACACACACACACTCACCGGCCACTTTATTAGGTACACCTTGCTAGTACCGGGTTGGACCCCCTTTTGCTTTTAGAACCGCCTTAATTCTTTGTGGCATAGATTCAACAATGTGTTGGAACCATTCCTCAGAGATTTTGGTCCATAGTGACATGATAGCATCACTGGCCCAAAGTGTGCCAAGGAAATATCCCCCACACCATTACACCACCACCACCACCCATCCATGCTTTCATGTTGTTTTCGCCAAATTCTGACCCGACCATCTGAATGTCGCCGCTGAAATGGAGACTTATCAGACCAGGCAACATTTTTCCAATCTTCTATAATCCAATGTTGGTGAGCGTGTGCGAATTGTAGCCTCCGTTTCCTGTTCTTAGCTGACAGGAGCGGTACCCGGTGTGGTCTTCTGCTGCTTTAGCCCATCTGCTTCAAGGTTGGACGTGTTGTGCGTTCAGAGATGGTATTCTGCAGACCTCGGATGTAACGAGTGGATATTGAAGTTGCTGTTGCCTTTTCTATCATCTCGAACCAGTCTCCCCATTCTCCTCTGACCTCTGACATCAACTAGGCATTTTCCTCCACACAACTTCCGCTCACGGGATATTTTCTCTTTTTCGGACCATTCTCTGTAAATCCGAAAGATGGTTCTGCGTGAAAATCCCAGCAGATCAGCAGTTTTTGAAATACTCAGACCAGCCCGACTGGCACCAACAACCATGCCACGTTCCAAATCACTTAAATCCCCTTTCTTCCCCATTCTGATGCTCGGTTTGAACTTCAGCAAGTCGTCTCCACCACGTCTAGATGCCCAAATGCATTGAGTTGCTGCCATGTGATTGGCTCACTAGCAATTTGTGTTACCAAGCAATTGAACTGGTGTACGTAATAAAGTGGCCGGTGAGTGTATATATGTATATTTACGTTTAAGATTAATGATGTAGTCTTTTATCCAGCCAAAGGTTGGAGTTCTCGTCTCCTTTTCATTGGCTGAACAGCTCTTCAGAAACGCAATGCTGTAAAAAGTCAATTTACAATAGCTCCTGTAGATCCAGTCAACAATGTCTTGTCTCTTACCAATGGCTTTTTCCAAACTTTCAACTCAGACCGGTTAGGTGGAAAGGATATACCTTCGGCTGTGCTCTCTCATTAGCTAGCCCATAGTGTTGCGGAAATCCTTTGTCATGTATTAGGAAGAACTAGAGGAAGATTAGAGTGACTCCAGGATTTTCAAAACTAACCCTGGCAGCGGGGATTACCCCTTCACTACAAGGGTTAAGTGCTTGTTTTAGTCTAGGGGGCTCAAATAAGAAGATGTATTCACCTAAACCTCGGCCCAGATACCCCTGCACTGCAAGGGTTAAGTGCTTGTTTTGGTCTAGGGCCGGGGTCAGCAACCTGCGGCTCCGGAGGCGCATGTGGCTCTTTCATTTCTCTGCTGCGGCTCCCTGTCCAAGGGCGGAATTACCGCCAGGGCCTCGGAGCCTGAGACTGTGGGGGGGCCCAGTGAGGTCCAGTCTTGGGCACCCCCCCGGTGGAATATGCGGCAGTGCAGGGTCCCGGGGGCCCCGCACTGCCGACGGGCTTCTCAGCAAGGGGGCGGGTCCTGTGACTTACCTCCTCTCCCGGGCCACGTTCCTAGTAACAGGCGGCCGGGAGAGGAGAAGTGTGTGTGTGTCACATGCCCCGTATGTGCTGGAGAGTCGTATGTGGTGTGTCGTATGTGCAGGAGAACCGATCTGCCCTGGAACAGCTGATCGGTCCTGAAATGTCACTTCTATCCGACTTTGTGCGTGCGGTGGAATGTGAGATTGCAGTCACATAGTCGGATAGAAGTGGCATTTCAGGACCGAATAGCTGTTCCGGGGCAGATCGGTTCTCTTGTACATATGATTCTTCACCTATTGGTGGTCACTCATTCCACCGCCAAAAAACTGGGCGGGATTACATTGAAATGTGTGACCACCGGTCACACATTGTAACGTAGTCACAAACAAAAAAGCAGTTCATTGATTTCATAAATGCAACACACTATAGTTTTTTTTATACATAGCATAAAGGTAAAAAACGATGTATGTTATCGTGTTATCTTCATTTTAGATGTAAAAGGGTTTTGTGGCTCCAGGTGTTTTCTTTTCTGTGGGAAACGGGTCCAAATGGCTCTTTGAGTGTTTAAGGTTGCTGACCCCTGGTCTAGGGGCTCAAATGAGAAGATATATTCATCTGATCCTGCTACACCAGTTCCTACAGGACTAAGGAATCCCCTATGTAATAGCCAATTCACCAAACAGGTCCTCTTTATGGAGACATCAGGGGTCTCCAAGACCTCTGATGTCACCTAGGGACCCCCACAGAAGCTGATGAAGCAGAGATCTGCTTCATCAGCTTCTCTCCGGTGTTCTGCACCGGAGATTGACACTGAATGCAGGAAGTGATGTAATATACATCACTTCCTGCATTCGGGGACAGGAAGAGAGATCAAAGGGATGATCAAGTAATGATCTCCCTTTGATCTGCTGTTAGAGCGTCGCCGTGCCGGTCCCAGCCGC